GTAAATTCCACCTTTTTTGCATTACGGGACCTGTAGCGTTAGAGTCAGACAAATTATAAAACCATAGTGCTACAGATCTGCAGCTAAATTTTGCCATACTTGAAAAGAAGATTTGTCCTACATATTACTTGATCTCCCATTGTGACCCCTCGTTAACCCTCCCTAAACCCAAGAGATCACGTTATGAACAAACTTGAATTAACTCTGAGGATATTTCCATATTAATATCACAATCATAGCTTTGCTGATCTTGAGCAAAGGATTTAAAAAAAAAAATTCCTATATATTTCTATATAAAAATTTGATCAGCCAGTGTGGCCCTGCCCTACCCCCGGGTGTCATGATTTTTACAAATTTTTCTACACCACCTAAGGATGCTTCGACAAGAGTTTTATCTTTCCTGGCCCAGTGGATTTTTTAAGATTTTTCCTAATTATTTAAACCTTTGATCAGCCATTGTGGCACCGCCCTACCCGGTGAGTCTTGTTTTCATTGTAACATTTGATTTTGGTTTTAATTTTTGATGTCCCTTTGATTTTAATGAGACCTTTTTATTTGATCGAGATGTTTCGGACCTTGGAATGATTTTAATCCTTGACCTTTTTATACAAACTGAAAATATACATTTTAATATGGCTTAGAATAAAATATATTCTTAAGAAAGAGTTGATTGTGGCCCCATATAAATATCACTAATCAACTTTGAAGTACTTGAGAAGAAGATTTAAAAAGATTTTCAAATATATTTCCTTATAAAGAGTTTTGATAATTGTGGCCCCATCCACCCCTGGGGGTCATGATTGAACAAACTTGAATCTACACTACCTGAAGATGATTACAATTTTTTTCATCTTTCAATTGGCCCTGTGGTTCTTGAGAAAAAGATTTTTAAAGATTTTTCCTATATACTCCAATGTAAAACTTTGATTGGCCATTGTGGCCCTCACCTAAACCCAAGGGGTCATGATTTGAACAAATTGAATCCAACTACTGAGGATATTTCCATATTAATATCTTTCATAGGCTTTGCTGATCTTGAGCAAAAGATTTTTAAAAATTTTCTATATATTTCTAGGATAAAAATTTGATCAGCCAGTGTGGCCCTGCCCTACCCCCGGGTGTCATGATTTGTACAAATTTGAATCTACACCACCTAAGGATGCTTCGACAAGAGTTTAATCTTTCCTGGCCCAGTGGATTTTTTAAAGATTTTTCCTATATATTCTATGTAAACCTTTGATCAGCCATTGTGGCACCGCCCTACCCCGGTGAGTCTTGTTTTCATGGTAACATTTGATTTTGGTTTTAATTTTTGAGTCCCTTTTGTGAGACAAGATCGATTTTTTTCGGACCTTGGAATGATTTTAATCCTTGACCTTTTTATTTGACCGGGGCTCACCTGAGCACATTATCTAGGAAAAAGCACAGATTGGTCAAAACTGAAAAATTGAGAGGGGGGGGGGCTTTGTTATTCTTGATTATGATTTGAACAAACTATAATATATATATTAAGGGGGTTGATTCCATATAAATATACACTAATCATGGCTTTGAAGTACTTGAGAAGAAGATTCTTAAAAAGATTTTCATATATATTCCTATGAAAGAGTTTCATCGGCCATTGTGGCCCCATCCTACCCCTGGGGGTCATGATTTGAACAAAGTTGAATCTACACTACCTGAAGATGATTCATATGAAATTCATCTTTCCTGGCCCTGTGTTTCTTGAGAAGAAGATTTTTAAAGATTTTTCCTATATACTCCAATGTAAAACTTTGATTGGCCATTGTGGCCCCACCCTACTCCTGGGGGTCATGATTTGAACAAATTTGAATCCACACTACCTGAATATGATTCCAGGTGAGTTTCATCTTTCTTGGCCCAGTGGTTCTTGAGAAAAAGATTTTTAAAGATTTTTCTTATATACTCCTAGGAAAACTTTGATCAGCTATTGTGGCCCCATCCTACCCCGGGGGTCATGATTTGAACAAACTTGAATCTACACTACCTGAAGATGATTTTTGAATCACACTATGAGTTTTTCATCTTTCCTGGCCCAGTAGTTCTTGAGAAGAAGATTTTTAAAGATTTTTCCTATATACTCCTATGTAAAACTTTGATTGGCCATTGTGGCCCCACCCTACCCCTGGGGGTCATGATTTGAACAAGCTTGAATCTACACTACCAGGGTCTGACAAATCCCATTGCCCGACGCCCGGGGCTAGTGAATTTTTAAGGGGGGGGGCAAGTCTCCTTCACCCAAGGATACTTTGTGGAATTTTTTTAATAGGTACATGCCCGTGGGCAAGTGACTTTAAAAAAAATCAATAAATATTTTTAAAAATGTTATAGGACAGGAGTCTGAAGTTCTTATCGTCAAAAAAAAAAAATCCGGAAAGAAATTTTCCTACCTTCAACTAAAATACACCATGATGGCAATATGTTTTGGGGGGACACACTTAAACTAATAGATCTGGGCTTGGCCTAAAAAATCTCGCAACAAATTCAGTATTCGGAGCGTTTTACTATTTATTCAAGTTAAGAAATCCAATCTGCTTGACGACTACAGGCCGTTTCTGGCCCTTTTTCCACTTTAACAGCTCATCCTGGACTCCATGCCACTAAACTGGAAGTAAATCTCGCAGTGTATATTTGACGTCTATGAACATGATCATGATGATGAAAGCTTGTTCAAATGAAATAAAATAAATAATTATTCAACATATTTTGATTCAGTTATTTTAAACATATTTAAGAAAACTTTAAAAGTTATCAATTCTTTTTCTTACTTGTAAGACGATATGTACCAGGGACAGATAATTCTATTTTTACACGGTGCCAAATTTAAATCATTGAAAAGCCAAGTCAACAAAGAGCCAAACAGCTTGTCTTACCGACCTGATGAGGCATTATTTTGTTTTAAAAATATATTTTTTTTTAATTGATCACATATGGAAACATAATATTGTACATGAAGATTTACATACAATTTTTTTCTTTTCTTCAATTACGTAAAATATTCACTGCGGTGTTCACTTCCAGTTTAGTGGCATGGAGTCCACTCCATACTCCACTAATCAACCTCTTTCAAATGACACCAAGGTCAATGACTTTGTGACCTTGACTGTGACCTTAATGCTAAAAATAGCTTTTTCCAAACTTTGTTGCCGCCGGGCGCATAGTGTTTCACAAACACATCTTGTTTTTTTTTATGGTCTACTTACCCTCTATACTAGTACTGTGTGTACATCTGTCCTCCACATTCAGCTTAAGTACAGGATCTTGGCTAGAAGTTGACAAAAATTCAGGATACCTGTAATTTAAAGAAATATCAGTAAGAATGTGCTGCAAATCACATATTCCATATAATATCAAATATGACACTATACCGGGGCAAAAAAAATATACATGACTGTACTCATGTTTCCTGTCACCTGACCTATCCTCCATTTTACTCTCCGAACCTCATAGTTTTTTTTTCACGTTTTCATTTTTTTTGCTATTTTCCCGAAATGTTTAAATCGGCCAACAATATTAAATGTTTTTTACAGATGAGTTTCAGAAGCGTTTTAATACAAAACTTGGGCAGACCTGTCAAAAAAATTATTGAACATACCAATGAGAAGTATGAAAGCCCTAACACCAACTGTGCAAAAGTTATAAGTTATAACTAAGGTTGAAGAGTGATATATTTTTGTAAAAGTGGTCAAACTTCAAGGTCAAGAGGTCAAATTTGGTGGTGGTGGTACCCAAAGAAAGGTCTTGTCACAAGAAATACAAGTGTACAGCAGTGAAATATGAAAGCCATAGCCCCACTCACTCCAAAGTTATGAGCAAGGTTAAAGTTTTTGAGGACAAACAGCCAGATGGACTACAGGGCAAAATCTATTTACCAATACGTCTTATTTCAACTATGGAAGAGTTTAAGATTTTAGTGCGCTCCTCTGTAAAAAAGTTGCAGAGTGTACAAATCTTTCAGGATTTCTGGGACAAACGTAACATAAACATGTAAACAATATGTTGGATGTCGATGAACAAATCCTAACAAAAATCAAATGAATCATTTTATTGTTGTGGACTTTATACATGTTATATGCATGAAGAGTAGAAAGGACAAAAATATCAATTTTTATCTATTGTTTATCATATGTATTTAATTATCATCTAAATATAATTCACATGCTTTGGAAATGTATTTTATTATTGGATGATAAATGAGATGGGAGTCCGAGAACATAACAAGGGATAAGCCTATAGCGCAACAAACATGAAGGTGAAAAAATTAAATCTCAATATGTTATGTCGCGACTACCAATGAGTACCTCGCAGTTATCTAACTTACCTCCGCTCTTTTGCGAGGGAGTCAAGAAAAGTCTAAATTTCTGGGGGCAAATGACATTGTTTACATTAGTGACAATCGAATGATTCGAACAATTTAATGCCAAAATCACGATGTTTTGCCAGATATTGAATTCCAAATAGTAGATTGTCAAATAAGGAAAGTTAAGAATATTTTATATACTGAAAAATGTGACGATTTTCAATGAAAATTTAACTATAAGAGTCCGCTTAATTAAACATATCTTTAAAAATGTGACAATTTAGGATTGGCTCCTCTCAAAAATGTATAAGGCTGGTTCAGCGATTGTCTAGCGAGGTATTCCACCAGGATTTTTTACTTATCTGTCCTTATAAATGCTACAATGATCGATCTTGCATTAATTGTATTGAATAGCACATTGCTCCCACCCAACAGATGATTCCTACCTCCTTCATGAAAGAGTTCAGCTAAGTTAAGTAATCGCGATATCAAGTATTGTATCAAAATTTTCCGAAATATTTCATCTAAAATTAAAGTATACTTTATGTAAATCTGTCAAATCTCTACAACTTATACATATCTCATGAAGATTGAAGTTTTTGGCCTGTAAAATATAATACACACGCGAAAAAGGGCAAATTGAGTCATTTTTTCACACTTTTAGTGTTGTAAAATTGGACAAATTTACTATTATCAAATTGAATCGGAAGAACACAATCACTTATATAATTATATAATTGATAATTTTAAATGTTATAAAAGGTTAGATTTATTCATCCTTAGAAGTATTTTAAAAAGACAATGCACCAGGATATGGATATAATAATTATAACCTCTTCACCATGCACGTTCTCATTTTGTTTACTGCTGATTAGAGTGATGTCCCTTTGGTGAATATAAAAGTTAAACCTGCTCGGCTTGAGAAATACGGCTTGAAAAATATAGTGATCTATCGATGATAATATTTACAATCGATTGTCGCCAATCTGGGCCTTTAAACGACGATTTTTCGATAGTCAGCGACTATCATAACAACACTACACACTTTTTAAAACAATGTTTTGAAATGTATGAGTGGGTCTTCACTCCACTTTTTTTTTCAAGTTTATCCTCAAAGTTTGCATACAAAATGAAATATACTATTTTGATTTCCAAAATTATGGAGTAAAAACCCAATAAACCTTTTAAAAAATTATAATTTTATGATATAACTTTTGTATCTTTTCGAGAAAAACTTGAAGTCCACTGAGTCAATGGTCATATCACAAACATGATTTAAATGCCAATCCTCATCAGGACTTGTGTAGCATAGTGGTTAGCTTGCTAGTCTCAGTAGAGAATGCTACTCAGGATTTTTATTGCTAGGGTTCAATCTAATGGATACATGTACCACATTTTTATATCTGTGATAGTCAGTTGGTGAAAAAACTGCAACAAAAATTGCGTACAGATCTCGAGACACGTGGATATATAGGAAGTTGACATCGAATTTGCATAAAAATGAATCTCACTACCAGTATATAATATGCCTCGACAAAGAGTGTTAAAAAATTTCAAACTTCTTGCTACCATAGTAGTTGCTGAAAAAAAAAACATAAAAATTTACACGCACAGATAAACAGGAAGTTGATGTGAGATTTCCTAAAAAAATAATGCCACCATTATCCCTCAATATGTAATGCCTATAGAAAGATAGACAGACATGCTAATTCCAATTTACTCCCCAAATTTGATTGAGAATGGGTTAAAATAATTGTATGTTGTTATTGAATATTCCTCACAGTTGACTTGTAGGTAATACTTATCATTGCTGACTTGTGGGGAATATTTCTCACTGTTAACTTGTAATACTTTTCATTGCTGACTTGTGGGGAATATTTCTCACTGCTGACTTGTGGGGAATATTTCTCACTGTTAACTTGTAATACTTTTCATTGCTGACTTGTGGGGAATATTTATCACTGCTGACTTGTGGGGAATATTTATCACTGTTAACTTGTAATACTTTTCATTGGTGACTTGTGGGGAATATTTATCACTGCTGACTTGTGGGGAATATTTCTCACGTAGGTTATATTTATCATTGCTGACTTGTGGGGAATATTTCTCACAGTTAACAATTTTAGGTAATATTTATCACTGCTGACTTGTGGGGAATATTTCTCACTGTTCACTTGTGAGGAATACACATGTATTGACCATTGCTTTACCCTTAAAACTTTGTTTCCATATAAATGTTGCCTTTGAACCCAACCAATAAATGTACACTTCAGTGTATATTGCTGACTTGTGGGAAACATTTATCACTTATTGGGAAATGCATTATTTTATTATACATGAACATTACAGATAAAAATTATTTTTCAACAAATAAAATAACTATCAAATCTTAAAAAAAATCAATCATCAATATTAATAATTGTATTGAAACTACATGTATTACTAATCTAATGTTTACAAGTCTTTTAAATCAAAGCACATTAATTTTAAAAACATTTGTTTTCCTTCACTAGATTTAAAACAAATTGCAAATTTTAATTTTCTCAGGTAAAAAAAATGTTTTCAATTCAAAAATAATAAGTATGTTGAAAAGGATAAAAAGTCATAAAATCAGGAGACAGTATATATAAGTACTAATTTAATCATTGATGGATTTAATTGGCCAATGACTAATTATTATTAACCAAATTTTGATTATATTTTGTAAAATTTTCTGATTATTGTTACACAGTTAGCATGGTTAGCACACATGTATATTTTCTGACAACTTCTCAGCATGTTCATGAGGCTTTTAACCTACTTTGAAATCATGAACAAGGACCAAATTTTTTTTTTATTTTAGATATACCGGTTTATATACTTCTATGTACATGTATTAGGCTTCATAACATACATGATATCAGCATGCTTTTTTTTTTTATTTCTGTTTTTAGAGCAACGGAAGTACTGTAAACCAACTTTTATTTGAGTGCAAGAAATATTTGCCAGTTTCATGACCTACATTTACTAGTGAATAGTAAATTATTAATTGCCCTGAACTATTAATTTTGCTTTATATTTGTAGAGAATGTTTCCTTTCATTAGTCACGGAAATTAATCAACACAGATTAGATATGCAAATAAAAGATGACACAAATAGGGTACATGTGTACTACCTGGTAGTTGGTTTACAGTACTGCTCACATATAGAGTTCAAAATGAGATTTTACAGCTATCTTGACTTACCAATACTAAATCCTTCTGTTTCCATACACAAATCCAGACAAAATGCTTTCAGTTATAATACTCTAGTTCTTTACATCCTTCATGTCCATGCAAGCGTGTCTGTTGACTTTGACTCCAAGTCTCAGTCTCTAACATTTTCAAGAATAAAGTTGTATAATTTGCTCTTGTGGTGAAAACCCGAAAACCTGCAATGATAATTTTGCTTTCAGTTCAAAGATTTCATTGTATATTTTTTTTAAAGTGTTCATATCTTTACCTATAATTACAAGACAGGTATATCTCCACATCACTCAATAGTAATTTTTGACCCCATGCGGCATGCCAAAATTAAGACTTAATGTATGCCCTTTCCTGAACCATATTGTTAACAGTGGGTAGGTAGGTATGAAAAATATTTTACTTTTTTCCTTCTTGTGACATGGCCCAGAGAGCTTTCCCTTTTAAATCAACCGTACAATAACTGCGAAACAGAACACTTTCTCGTGGATGTTTGATGAGCAGAAACTGTTTTATATGCAAAAAATCAACGATACAGTACAACTTATTTTTAGGAATGACAGAAAACTGAATCAATACCTTAAATGATAGTCATTGAAATTGCATGATAGTGCTGTTAGTATTTATTTAAATTTAATTAAAATGAGAATAGAAATTTACAGCGTAAAGTTACCAGAGGCAGATTAAAAATTTTTAGAAAGGAGGAGTGGGTGCAGAAATCAAATGGTTTTCTTAAAAAAAAAATAAAAGACCAAAATCAGGAAGCATTATCAGACCCAAAACTTTGAGCGCGATCGTTATATGTAAATAAATTTAAAAAGGTATAAATTCAGTTAAGCAAATATAAATAATTATGAATAATAGATATTGAATCTTAAAATCTCAACATTACCTTTCAATTTTATAACCAATTTTAAATTTTTAATATGCTCGCTATCATAAAAGCTAGCTGACCTAATTGTTATTACTATGTTTCTCCATTTCCTCCAATTCGCATTATTTTGTATACCACGCCCAATCATAATTCAATAGTAATTGAGGTTTTGAAAAGGATTTTTAGTTATTTTTTACATATGATTTTGTTTCTTATTTATTCCATCAGCATCTAAACCCCAAGGCCAAGGTTTGAATTGTAACAAATTTTAAAAATAAAAGGTGATCTTTAATTAACAATAAGTATTTAATTAAAATGAATTTATTAGACATTTTAATTGGGCCTAAATAAATAAGTAGTGTGTTTTCAGCATGTTTAGTTCCCCGCCTAACTCTAAGAAGTATAGGAGCCGACCCTCAATATTTTTTCTGCTAATATCTTTCCATGAGTAAACTACTGTATGTATACTTTAAAATGCAGGCTTCATATTTTAGCGGCTTTGGTGCAGACAACAATGCACTAATTCATGAATACTGCTAAGAAATCATTTACATATTGATATATACAATACACCGCACATACATGTGTAGCGCTAATTTATGATTATGCCAACCCAGTGATTATGCTAAATTTTGAAAGCACCAAATTATATACACATATTACAGTATTCGGAATTCCAGTTTACAATTAGAAATGAAATCCCAATCTTGATCACTTCCATGTTTGAGAAATGCATATCTTACACATATTAATCAGAAATATTTTGACAGTGAAATCCTGGGGGAAAGTGGCAGCGTGCCTGCCAATAAAATGTTAAAATAAAATAAAAATGTTTTTCCTACCTACCTACCCTATCTTTTCTAAGGTTAAAATATGAAACACTATCTATTTATCTTGGCCTTAGCAAAATAAAAAAAAATACTTATGATACATCGATAATGATGGTCTAAAATCATGAAAATATTTTCAGTAGGGCAATCAGGATGAATGTAGAACAGGGTGCAGGTGAAAGATAATGAAGGCAAATGGACACTATGCAAACCAACGCATGCGAAGAAATATATACAAGTAGGAAGAATGACTTGATAAAAAAACGATAACTAAATCAAGCTTTTTTTTTTTGGAAGAATTAAACATGTTAATCTATAATCTAACCAAGCTAAGAAATTTTAGCTACATAAATCTATAAATGTACTGATTTCAATGGACCTTTTGAAAAGGTGGAGTTCTCTGTGATACATTTCTGACACTGAGTCAGTGTGTGACTGACATCGTTTATAAATACACGTACAGTTTAAGTCAGATTAACTTTTACAATTAATTCGCCCACACAGGCCTCACTAAACTATGGAACGCCAAATTTACATATATTCAAATATTTGTACCTATCTTCAAATAATTGCACCTATCTTCAAATAATTGAAGATAGGTACAATTGAATTAAAGATAGGTACAATTGAATTAAAGATAGGTGCAATTGAATTGAAGATAGGTGTAAATAATTAAACCTATCTCTAAATAATTATACCTAGGTACAAATGAATTATACCTATCTTTAATGGAATAACACCTATCTTCAATTCAATTAAAGATAGGTTCAATTGAATTAAACCTATCTTCAATTCATTTGAAGATAGGTACAATTGAATTAAAGATAGGTACAATTGATTTGAAGATAGGTTCAATTAAGACATATCCACAAAGGATTTGAAGATAGGTACAATTCAATTATACCTAGGTTCAATTCGTTCAATTGTGATTGTTGAAAATAATGAACGCTCCCTTGGAGACGATATTGAACACGAAGGGAAACAGAACCTACAGAGCGACGACAATGAGGATGAAAGGACAAATGATACACCCCCTTTTAATTTGCCTTATATATTAAAGTAATTTTGTGTTTTTCAATTCTAGTTATACCAGATTCAAAATGTGCAAAATGCATTTTATACTTAATAAAATGCACATGCATGTATACGGTAAGACATATACATGTACTAGAAATGACGGAAGATAAAGGGAGTAGCTATTATTACCAATATCTTAGTAATTAAAGATAGGTTCAATTTAATTGTACCTATCTTTAAATCAATTATACCTATCTTCAATTCATTGCATTTGTAATATATACAAATGGAAGAATGTACTTATAAAAAAATGAATTAAAGAAGGTATTTTTGGAAGAATTAAACATGTTAAATAATCTAACCAAGCTATTTTAGCTCTAATTCATATAAATGTACTGATTTCAATTGACCTTTTGAAAAGGTGGAGTTCTCTGTGATACATTTCTGACACTTCATGTGTGAAGACATCGTATAATTACACGAAGTTAGGTCAGATTAACTTTTACATATTAATTCGCCCACACAGGCCTCACTAAACAGCTAAAGACCAGACAGTCGCACCGTCTAGCATAATTTGTATGGGCATGAGGAGGATAGTCACGTTTCACAAAAAATGGGGACAAGCCTTAAACGCTTACCATATCCCGGGGGTGCTGAATTCATATAAATCCGTAGTTTGTTCTTACAGGATAGCCATTAGGCCTATAAACATGATACAATTAAAAAAAAAAAAAATAACCGAGGTCTAGGTCGGGTCAAACTTTCCCAAAGTTTTACGTGCATTCATTATTAAATGTTACTTTACGAACGTCTGTAAGAAATAACTGCATGCATGATTTACGTAGTTAAATTAAGTTTTCAGCCTATAATATCTTTAAAATATGATAAAAAATCTACTTACCACATATTCTCGGAGCAGCCATTGCCCGCAATAAATTGGTATCATATGGGGACCAGTTTAAATTCCGCTGCGTTCCGAATGAACATTTCCCAGCATCCTCAAACATTCGTTTTACGGTGCAGTGAGAAAATTACTGCGAGTCAATTTTACGGACTTATGGGGATTTTTTCAAAAATGACCACAAATCGAATAAATATTATCAGTAGAACACGTAGAATTCAAAAAACCCCATGACCATATTTGTGGGGAACGAGAGAGTTCCCCACAATTCTGAACTTTCCCCATAAGAAAGGTCCTTTGTCAGGTGTGAGTTCCCCACAAGTCGGTGATCGCGAGAAGAAAACGATGTAACTGTTTTCACAAGTACACTCGCAGGTGGGCATCACGTGATCAATTGTAATATTTAACAGGTCAATCGAAGACATAACAATGGAAGCGAGAAGTTTGTTCCTAACATGTATTTTGTTAAATTAAGTATCAGCACACGTTTGTCGGCTCTTCTCCTTTTAAAATATCATTATTTTGTTCAATATACAACTACAGTTTTCTTAAGAACAGCCGACAAACATGTGCTGACTATGCATTCAGACGATAAAAAATGCGTGACCCTGATTATCTATTGATATTCAAGAAATCTTCAGGTACCATGCCTTCGATATTTATTTAGTTTACCTCGAAAAGAGCGTTTTAAATTCACATCCGGACTATGAATACACGGTTAAGATATCGGGGGTTTATATGATAAAAAAAAATAAACATTTTATGAAACTTAAATTTACGGCATTTTTTCTGGCCAGTTAAGTCTACCCATTCTTTGTCGGTACACTGAACTTTTAAATAAAAACACCCAATTTATGATTTATATCTGAATAATTTTTGTTTTAACTTTAACATGTTCAACATTTTATACATGTTTGATCATGTGCTCAACAGTGTTGACCTTACAGCACCTGGTCTCTCCACTTCCCCGTGTCTGATTTACAAGTAAATGTTATTTAAGTTGTGCCGAAGCAAACATATTATAAATACTTACAAAGTGGACGCAAATATGCAAGATATCATTCTTATTACGCCGATTCAGATTAAAAATGGCGCGGATATTACAAGTAGCCCGGATGTTGTCTACCCATGATGTTCAGCCAGATTCATGGGATATTGGGCCAACTTAGAGTCGTTGCCAATCCTCCAACAAATATATTTTTTCCTGATAATAGTTATATGATATAACACCAACGGTTTGTCCAACAGTGGCCCGATTATACATAACCAACTATCAATATTCTGTGGACCACTGTTGTCCGAATAATAACCCAACAGCGATAATCCCAAACCCTA